GTTCCGAACTCGCTGACATGGACCTTGAACTGGTCCCTTGGAATCTCGTCGACTGGCCTTTCATCAACAGCATCGACGTAGTACGTCCTCTGAATACCTACCAGCTGATCCTCAGGCATCGGCCATGGCAGTGATGATGCTGCAAAAACACATTTTCGACTTCTGTGGTGAACTCTCCTCAACACAAGCTTGTCAAGGTCAACTTCCCAATGGTCATGATTTCGGTTCTTTCCTCTTCTTGGGATTTTCTGGAACAAATCAATCTCGCTGGGACTCTCCCCGGGTGATTCGGGTGCTCTGTACCCTTCCGGTACTTCTGTTGGCTCATAGCCTTCACTCATCCGATCATCCTCGATAGGTTCCGGATTCTTTCCGATCTCATATGGATTCGTTGGATCCTCTTGCATTGGTGTCGGTTCGGTATCCGCTTCCTGTCCCTTTGGCGCATGGAACGGAACATCATCAAACTCTGGAAATCTCTCTCCAGTCTCTTTCTCTTCATGCTCGCGATGAAATCTATCCCACTCATCATCGATAGACTTTCTTTTCCTCTTCTCTCGTTCTGACTCTGATTCTGGAACTCTTTCTCCCGACTCTTGCTGAGATTCAGGCTTTTCTTCGGTATCCAAGCCTTCTTCCAATCCTTCAGGCACGACGGGCACAGACGACTCGTCTTCGATAGGTACTATCCTTTTGTACTCATCTTCAAGGTACTTCTTGTAATGATTTCGACGCTTGACTGAATGACCTGTTTCACTCCCGTTCGAACAAGCTGGACATCTCGAAGTCTTATTCACTTCACTCCAATACCAAGGTGGTTCCCCTTCATGGATGGGCAAATCAACCAACTTCTGGGTTTTCGAAAGATCATTCGGTAGTCTTTCAATCCTGTCTGGCTTCACTCCACTCTTAGAATTCGGAATTTCACACAACATCCCAAGTCCAGCGACAAAACGAATCGGTGAGGCAATCTTCAAGTCTCGAAGACAGGCACAACCACAGTCTCATCCTGTGAACCTTCGAAGGCAACGAAGTGACCTAACGAAGATAACTTTGGGGTCAAGTAAATGCCTGGTGCAAAGTGACGAGCGTTTGCTTCTCTGACCTTTTCCAAGTACCCATCAGTCGGCCTGGCAAAAACCAAACATCCAAATGGCATCACACGATTGGTGTTTGGGACTTCTCCTGAACTAGTTACACTGATGCGCATGCGTTGATACGGTGTCAGTGAACTGTTGGCTTGCAGCTGAAATGCGCTGTGGACATGGCAAGCGTTTGCTGCGGCGTATCGAAGGCTTTCACTACCTAGCATCAACCCGCGCTGGTACAACACTGTACGAATACACCCTAGTTGAGTCTTGAGGGTCCTCACTGCCCTTTCGGCTCCAGTTGCGTGTCTTCCTGGACGACTGGTCTCATGTCTTGAGACGACCTTCAATCGAATGAGTTCGGAAATGAGCGCAGTCAAGTCACGGCCTTCATCACTGAGAACCATCGCACCTGTGGACGAACAGTGGTTGATGGCAGCTGTCAAAACACGAATCGTCGAAGCTTGATCTACATAGATTGCAGCTGTTGCTATCATACCATGCGTCCGATTCCAAATCACAACATACCTATACATGTTTGGAGACTTTGGATGGGTGCATAGGTTGGCAATATCCATCTGGATCTCGTTGGTGACTTGATCTGTACGTTTTGGCACTCGTTTCAATCCCTTGCTCATGAGACAGACTGCACAGCTTGGATCATAAGGTGTGTGACTCTGCAAAATGTGCTTAGCTAGTCTGTTACCTCGTAGCTTGATGGGATACTCGAACTCGAACTCAGGCCCTGACTCAACGGTGCAAACGATTTCTTTTTTGCGCACGACGTCGAATGCTGGATTCGAAAAATGCGCTCGAGCTCTTATCGGCGGCTCGACTCCCCTTTTGGGAGGAACCTGGACGCTTTGGATATCGTGTCTTCCTTCGCGTCCGACGCTTCGGACATCGCGTCCTACTTCGCGTCTTCCCTCTTGTCCGAAAACTTGGACAGATGCTCCTGCAGTTGCTTGCGGTACGCAATCTCTTCCTCGGACAATGGCGCTTGAAGCGCTTCTGGCGGCGTAGAGGGAATCTCCCCCACCATCGCCGTCGGTTCCGACATTGCCGTCGGTGCCGGCGTCAGAACTACTCCTCCCGCTGCCGGTGGCATAGCGGGTTGCTCGAGAGAGAGATTCGCCTCGCCTTTCTCAAATTCTCTCGATCTTCCTCTTCTGCCCTCCATTGCAGGAGATCTTGTTTTCCCTTCTCGAACTCTTCCTGCCGACGACGCTGGATCTCCTTTCCGTGTTAAGGCCTGAGCCATTCTCTCTGAACGGTACAGCGCCTTCGCCTTTCAGCGTTCTTCCTCTTCCTTCTCTCGGCGGGCAAGTTCCTTCTCCCATTCGATCGCTCCTGCTTCTCGCTCGGATGACAGCTCTGTGCGAAACAAATGTTCTCGCTGTTCGTCAGGTGCTCCAGATATTTCGGTACTTTCTTCGCACCCGATCCCGACGCCGAGGACTCCTTCTCTCTCTTGAGGGTCGCGGTACCCCTCTCTGCTTTCCTGAGCAGATCTTGGGCTTTCTGAGCCAACATTTCTTCTGCCACCGCTTTCTGCTCTTCGGTAAGCGGTCGACTCTTCGCCTTGGGTTTGGTCGGCGGCGTCTTCGGACCAGGAACCGATGGTGTCTTCGGCTCCGGAATCTCGGCAGTTGCCGGTGGAGCTGGCGGCTGAACAGGTGGCTTCTTTGGCGGCGCAACCGGTGGTTGCTTTGAAGGACCTTTCTTATAAAGTAGGTGTTTGTTTTTTTAAAAAGAGGTGTTCAATCTGGGATATTATTAGAGTTTGTCTGGACCTGGAATAAGAGTCAGTCTTCAAACTGTCCTATGCTTATTGTCTTGACCTCTCTCCACACACCCATTTATTTACCGGCCATAGGTTTGCAACCCGAAACGAAAGACGCGTGGAAAAGATTTCAATGTGTGCATTTTTGCCCGTTCCTGCTTTTTTCCAACCAAATTGTCATTGTGCCCGCAGCAGAGACGGCCCAAGTCGCTTGACTTGAAGTGACGACACGATGATCATGATTGCGGCCTTCACCTCGAAGTTAGATGCTGTGAAGAGAGAGCATCGGCTGCACATGGCAGCCCACCACACAGGCGAACACAGAGCCCTCCTGCAAGCCACTGGCAATGACAGACACAGAAGCGTCCAAATCCTCAAGCAAAGCCTTCTTGCGCTCGAAGGAGAAGTTCGAAATTCTGTCGCCAAAACTTCTCGAGACTCGGCTGCGCGCCACTTCGGCAGGGTCTGTCTTTTGGAGCCCTTCTTCCAAAGTCTCAGGAGTCAGCTCAGGCGGGCCACTGCCCTCGTGTTCCAGATAGCGCCTTGCAAAGGCTGTCAAGATGACAACAAACTCCAAAGCCTGCTTTTGGAAGCTGCAGCAGCAACTCACAAGAGGTTGCAACTGGTAGCATGACTCTTTGATAACCTCCATGATGCAATGTTGGCGTGGCGTTTTCGCATATGCCGGTCTGATTCCGCCACGCTCAGGCCCTGAAATGGCTTTTACAGAAGACATGTTTACCAAATAGGTTTGATTTTGGCTTCATGAAGGCGTTTCTGCGCAGAAGCAATTGTCAGACCAGTGTCGGAGTAAAATGAAAATGATGCTTTTGAGCCGCCTTTATGTTCACAATCGTGCCTCTGTGTTTTTTAGGGGGACAAGTTTGGAGCACTGCCCACTGTGTTTGTTTGCAAGTCCATTTGACCAGCTTGCTGGTCAAAGGTCAAAGGCCAGCTTGCTGGCTAAAAATCATTTTGTTTTGCTAGTGTTTTTGGCCCAGTCACAAAAGGTGTCAACATATAGTTCTTCGGCCCTGGCCCTGCCCCAAATGGCTCCACGTGTTTCCAAGGCTTGCAAGGCTAAGGCCAAAAAGTCGTCCAGTGGCCGCGATCACCCTGTTCCACCGCTGGACCAGGAGCTGAAGATCAGGCGCGTCCGCTTGCCGGGCAAGGACTATGACCACTTCACTGACTTCAACGAATACTTGGTGAGCACTGTGGAAAGCCAGCCACAGGACCTTATGCTGCTGGTGTTGAATTCAGTTACGCTCGAATCTTCAGACTGCTTGTCGCTGAATTGCAGCGGGCCACGGCGGCAACAAGCGCTACCTGACATATTATTTTCTTGCATGTGAGGCGCCCCTTGTCATGACGCGTCTGAATCTGTTTAGACCTTAGGTTGATGCTCAAGAACTTGCTGATCTTTTCCAACGATGAGTTCTTCAGGGGATTCCAGCCGCCGGCATGGTCGAGACAGGGTGACAACAACAAGGTGCTTTTCGTTTTCCGACATATCGGTTGCGCGTGCGGCAAGCGCTTAGTTCCGTAAATCTTTATGTTCTTCACTGTCTCCTACGTGCAGGTGCTGCTGCACAACGGTGCGTGCGACATCATGGTTGATGAGGTCTTGGTGATCTTGGATTGGAAACAAACGGTGGATACCAAGCCGACATTTGTTGAGCCAAACAAGATCTTTGTTTGCCGAGAGAAGTTTCACCTTTTGGAGCTGTATGGAAATACAAGCTCTGCAGTGGAGCAGCAATGAGACAGTTACCAGAGCTTGTCATTTGCTAAGTTTTGACCTGGATGGTAGTTAGCGCCCCGTGTCTGATACCATGATGCGAGTGAGGCGAAAGTCGGATCTGCGAAAAAGAGGTTGCTTTGATTGTTTTTGAGGGATCGAATCAGCTTGCTGATACCTTCCTGTCAGGCCAGCTTGCTGGCTTTTTTCTTGCTCGCTTTTTACGATTGTCATTTGATGCAAATTTTGGAACCTTGAAGATGGCCCAAAGTAATACCAAACACTGACTGTACAGCGCTTTAATCTCTGACACAAAGAACAAACAGCCGAGATGAGCAGTAAGTGGCAACAATGACTTTCTGAACCAGGTGCTTGATACGTTTTCGGGCCATGGATGACGACGAGGCTGGGGATTCAGTGAGCTTGCCACCCTCAGTCGCGGAGACAGATGATGAAGCGCTGCAGCAGCAGCAAGATGATGAAGACGACGTGTCTTTGCCGCCAGAGGTGGTGGAAGATGGTTTTCCTGAGGAGGCTCAGTGCTGCAAGAGGCGCAATTGCAAATCACTCTTCGATCGAGCAGTTTTGGAAACGTACCAGGCTGAATTTTCCCATTGCAGCCAAGCCGTGCGCTTGAACAAAGCTTATGAGAAAGTCCGCGATGTCTTCAAGGCCGGCGGGTCTGACACGAAGAAGCCAATGCCATGGGCACTGCTGGGCAAACCAGTGTGCAGGAAGTTCTTTGAAACAATCCATCAAGTTGGCCATGGCACTATGGACCAAATGGTTCTCCATTGCAAAAATGGCCACACATCCTGGCCGCAACAACGGGGTCCTAGACTGCAAAGAGACGCTCCTGCCACCGATACCGTGGATGTTTGGTTCATGACGGTGTACAATGACCTGGCTGAACCTCTTGCCATTCCTGGTTCGGAAGGGCGGTTGGAATCTGCTGGGCTTGAGGAACAGCTGCAGCAACATGAAGTAGTGGACGGAAATGACCCGTTGCTGTCAGTCAGTCTCAATTTGAGGCGGCACGCGAATCCAAAGACAGACCCGCATGGGCGGGTGCTGATCCCTAAAAGGTATTTGAATTTTGCAGATGAGTCTGCTCTATTCAACTTCTACCAGATCGACGAACCATCTCCGCAGCAAGTTTCCCGTAGCACCTTTCGAAAGGCATGGGGAAAATGGTCGAGGATCATGGCTTTCAAAAACAAAGGTGAGAACAGCAAACGCAACATTTGCGCCAGGTTGACAGTCGAGCGAGCTGAAGCTGTTGAGCCATCGGAAAGGCTACGTGTCGATGCTGCAAAACGCCAACATTTAGATTGTGTTATGGCTGATCGATCAGTGAGCGTGCGATGCAACAAGCTGGCATCCCGAGCAGATGTCTGGCTGACCAAGCAGAATCATTCCAGCATGTGCAAGCTGATGCTGGATGGAATGGATCAGTCGAAATTTGCCATACCCAGAAGGAAGGATATGAGTGGCACCTCTTCCTGGTCAAAGTGCTGGCGCCCGTCCATCCATGTGACCGGGTGCATTTGCTTCGGTCAATTCGAGTATTACGCCATCATGAGACCTGACCAAGCCAAAGACAGCAACATGAACGCAACCATCACGCGCCGTGTACTCGATCTGCTTCACACCAAACTGCAGAGTCAAGGCCCGGAATACTCCTTTCCACCAGAGCTTGTGTCTAGGTTTGCTTTCAGTTTTTCATTTTGATGGTTAGCGTTGGCTATCAAGCTGTCTCAGTCCAACCAAAGTTTTGACCCAACCCTGGACTTGTTAAGGTAGTGATGTGTGACAACACACCAAGAGAAGCCAAAAACGCATTCTATGCATCATATTTATCCACATTGGTGGGTAAGCAGCTGTTCAAGCAAGTGGAGTGCCATTTTCTTCAAGTTGATCATACGCATAATGAACTCGATCAACGCTTCAGCTCAATGGCCAGCGTGATAAAGGGAGCTGCCTGCTTGGAGGACATTGCTGATTTGGTCGAGTACTTGAAGGATCACATGAAAGCAGCTGTCAACAGAGAGATTGTGATCGAAGAGTTGACAAATACTATGGATTTCAAGACTTGGCTGGGAGATGCCAACCTACATGTCCAAGGGCTGACAAGTACCCACTTGGAGCCGCACGCCAATCATGTTTGGAGATTTACTCCCCGCGCTGAAGTGGACCCGGCCCATGGAGCTATCGAGTGCCATCACCCAGATTGGCGTGGTCTTCCGGAGCATCCACAAGATGTGATCTTGACAGTGAAGCAGTACATGAGCTCCCCATCTCCATCCCAATGTCCGCAGCTGATTCTACCCTTGGCAATAAGCGAGAAATTGCAGGAGGAGAAGCTCAAGCCTGCTGCCCAGAATCAATTTAGCGAAACCACGCTGCAGGAGTTCCGGAAGACAGCTGAAATTTTTTCCCAGCCCCCATGGTCTATGCTAAAGGCCAAATGCTTTTTGGAGGACCTGTGTGACAAGAATCAGACCTGTCACATGTATCCTGGCTACAAGTTTGAGTTCTATTTTTCGGAGGATTTCGCAGAGCAGCGATGCCTTGAATCAGGGCGTTTGGACGCAGCTCTGCCACAAGACTTGGAAACCGCTGATGTTGAACCTGAAGCGCCTCCACGTCGTGTCATGGTTGTCAAGGGCAAGAACAAGCCGCCAAAGGCGAAAGCAAAAGTTAAGGGGGCTGCCAAAGTTCAAGCCGGCAAAGCAGTTTTGAAACGTCCAGCCGCAAGTGGCGTTGTTCAGCCAGAGCCTATCGTTGAGGCTGGGCAAGAACCAAGACCTGCGGGTCAGTTGCTGAAACGCCCGGCCAGCCAAATGGAGACATGGGCTGACAACTCTTCATCTGCTGTTCCTGCAGGCCCTGGCGCTGCCCCAGGCCCAGATGGTTTGCCAGCTGGTTGCGAGTGGGGCTGCTCAAAATGCTACAAACGCCCTCCCGGGTGCAGCCGATGCAGGAAACTGGCCGATGAGGGCCGTCTTGACTTTCACCGTCTTGCCGATGGCAGGATCTACAGGGATCTCGCAAAGCGATGATGCCGGCTGCTGCTACAGCTGCAGCAACGCCCCGCCAGAAAATACAATAATAGTGATCGCGACAACTTGTTGTTGCGACCTTAATAGCCAGCTTGCTGGCCATTTTTTGCCTGACAGCCTCACTCACGACGTGACATGTTTTAACATTGTGACTACGATGCCTCTGCCGCTGCTTTCTGCTCATTGATTTCAGGTTCCAGATTGTATACATCATTTCTTAGTGTATTAAGAATTGTTGAAGAATTGTTGTTATATCGTTGTCCAGGCCAGGGTCGACATCACATTGTGTTTTTCGGCCAGCAACCGGTGAGCCATGATGTCGGAGACCAACTCCGAGCTTTGCAGTCCAACTGTTTCTCTACCATCAGATGTCACAGATGGGTCACTCTCATTGCCTGACTCTTGTGAGGAGCGCGCAGAATCTGAAAGTGGCCTGGCCCCGGCCCAACCGGATACATCAATGTCCTTGGAGTCGGATTCGGATGTTGAGTTGCCAGATCCTGTGTTTGATTTCGACACGGAGAACATATCGCCAGTTGCCTCTGCCGTACCTGCGCCTGAACAAGTGGCCACACACGGGCCGCAGGATTTCAATTTGTTCGCGTTGGAATTGTTTTCCCCTCCGCGCGTGCTTCCACATGTGAGATCCGTTGGTGGCCCATGCCGGATGTCCTTGGATATCCTGACCGGTTGGAACCTGCAGCACAAGGAAGTTCAAGACATTGTTTTTGGCATGTTGGAAGCAGGCAAACCCAGAATGGTTTTTTTGTCTCCGCCTTGTACCATTTTCAGCTGTTTGCAAAAATGCTTTCGCAATTATGAGAAGATGGGCCCCAAAGTTCTGGAAGAGAGATGGCGAGAAGGTTGTGACCATATGAATTTGTCGGTGACCGTTGCTGAGCGGCAGGACCACAACGATGACTTCTTCATGTTGGAACACCCACAGCGAGCCTCCTCGTGGGAATTGGAATCCACTCAGAAATTGCGGGCTAAGCAGCGTGTAGGCAGCGTTGATTTCGATCAATGCATGCTAGGCCTTCGAGCGCCCAATGGTAAGTTGATGAAAAAAAGGACCCGCATTGTGAGCAACAATGCCTGGCTGCTATCCAAGCTGTCCCATTCCCAATGTGATAGGCAGCATGAGCATCAACCCATTGAGGGGTCGATGAAAGGTCGAAGCTTGAGTTGGTGGGCCCAACACTACCCTGATGGCCTGGTGAAAATTTTAGCAGAGAGTGTGAGCCACTAGGCAGGTCACAGACCAACTGCGCCGGATTGTGTCAGAATCTGCACAACTCACGCGTGGGAATCCTTAACCCTAGATGCGCGGATTTCCACGGAAATCTTGACAAGTCAGCTCGCTTTTTGCTTTTCAACACAAATCACCTTTTGGTTTTCCACAGGCCACTTGCGTGGATTCTCAATATCACCTGGGACTTGCGTCGATTTCCACGGAAATCTGCACAAGTCAGCTTTGAAAATTCCAAGTTGGACTTGCGTAGATTCTGTGTTTTGGGGGCTGGCCCCGCTGCGCGGATTTCCACGGAAATCTGCACAAATCTTTCGCCATGGAGTTTGAAAGTTGAGATTTTGCGCGGATTTCGTGTCTCAGAGCTCTGCGCGGATTTCGTGTCTCAG